AACTTTGCCAGCCCATTCAGTCAGGACCCAAGAGCACCCAGCGGGTTCTGCGCAGTGGGAGCGCGGCGGGGGACAGGGTTGGGACGCCCCCAGCCCCCCGGCCGAGCACGCAGTGAGAGGCCGGGGGCGCCTCTACAGGTCCCACAGCCGGGCCTAAGGACTCCTCTGCTCCTGCTGGAGAGCGCCCTCTGCCCACTTGCGCCGTGGAGCAGGGCGCAGGGAACCCGGAAGGGCCAGGGCTGGGGCCAAGGGCCCAGGCGCGTTCTCAGCCAGCCCTGCGGGCAGAGCGGGGCGGGCCTTCCCAGGAGGAGACCGGAGGCGGGGACCCCAGCCCCTGCTCCTCACAGCCGCCCCGCTCCGTCCGCGGCCCTCTCCCCGCCCCGCGCGCCCTCGCGTCCTGCCGCCCCACGGCCAATCCGCGCCCCGGGAGGCAGGGCGGCGGCGGCGGCGGGGCACAGAGGCTGCGCGGAGAGCTCGAGCTTTGTGCCCCTCGGCAGGTAAGGCGCGCGCTGGGGATGGGGGCCGCGGCGGCTTTTGTAAAGTCCCGGGGCAGGTACTTGAAAACCAAGGCCAGCGCGCCCGGTCGGTGCGGCAGCGGCTCGAGTCCCGGCGCCGGCCACCTCGGCCCTCCGGGTTGGCAGGGCTGCCGGTCGTGAGGCTCGGCCGCGGATTCGCGGCGGGCCGTCGCGGGGAGCGGCTTTCTCACGTATGCAAAGAGAGACTGCTTAGAAAATTAAACCGTATTTCATTTCAGAACTGTTTATGGTTTGGTGTTTCTGTAGACCTACGCCGGCTGGTGCTGCGCGCGTGTCCGGCGTAGTCTCGGCAGCCGGGGATGAGCTAGTGCTCCCGTCCCGGCAGCTCCAAGGCGCGCTGGGGGCCCGGCCTGGGATGGCAGGGCGCGCGGGGCTGCGGCCGGCCGCGTCGCTTCTGGCCGCACTCAACTCTTTGGAAACAGGAATAATACGCGTTTCCTAGCCATTATTGTGAAGATTGCATGAATTAAGTGCACTCTAAAAAAACAAGCTCAGCTCCCAGCAGCAACAGGGTTGTATATATTATACCCAGAATTGTAAAGGAATTAAGGCAGTTTACAACAAAATCACACAGACTAGTAACAAATACAAAATAAATGCAGCCAGATATTGGGAGCAGAGACAATGTAAGAACAGAAAATATGTCTGCGGGACAAAAAAGGAAAGTGCTGTCCAATAGAAATTTCTGAGATAGTGGAAATGTTCTACATTAAATTAATGTTTAGTTACACGTGTCTAGTGACTACCTTAAAGGACAGTGCAGGTCTGCATTGTTCCTGTAGTTGAGTTTCACATTTGTCCTGAGGAAGATAAACTTGATCAGTTACATATTCTTGTCATTTGAAATAAAGCATACTAGAGACTTCATGCATTCATTCCTCAAATATTAATGGCCGTGAGGGAAGCAGAGCCTTTCCTGAAAATCAGCTATAAAGACAGTATTCCACAGGCTTCGTTATTGGAACACCCTGGTATATTGCCATGTGAAAGTCTACTCAACTGAGGAACTGGGTTGGGATGGTTGGAGTTAGTGAATATGATGTAATACATAACTTTTCCTAGATTTTGAATAACTATACAAATGTTAACCATTATAGCAGAATTTAAAATACAGAGATAAGCAAAAAGAAAGTCACTAAAATTTCCACCATTCAGACAGTTAATATTTTGATGTACACATTTCCAGACTTCTCCAATACAGCTTTTTTATTTTCCTTGGTAGGCCCCAAAGTCTCCAACTCCCTCCATGGAAGCTGAGTGCAGTCTGGGCACAAGGGTTGCGTTTACTTTTATCCTTGGACCTTTGAGGTTAGCACCTGGCCCCATCTGAGAGGGTCACCCTCTCTGTAATCCTTCCCCATACTTCAGCCAGTGGCTTGGCTTTGAGGAAGTGATCATGGGTATCTGAGAGAGCATTTCAAAGAGGACAGAGGAATAAGTCACAGATGTGGTTTATTCTGCTTGATGAGTAATCCAGAGTTTCTTAACCTTGGCACTATTGATATTTGGGGCTGGATAGCTTTGCTATGGGGGGGACTGTCCTGTGCCTTAGAGGATATTTAGCGGCATTCCTCTCCCACTTCCCCTTCCCCCCATCATGACAATCAAAAATGTTGGTTGAGAGCCGCTGGGTCAGCAGAAATCATTAACTGCTGACATGCTCTAAAGAGGTCATGTTTCTGTTTGCATGTGGGAGAGAGACAGATGGAAAGAGAGGCATTAGGATTCTAAGAGGAAAAAGCACAAAAATGAGAGGAATTTTTGAGAGGACTCTTTATAGAGGGGAGGGTAGTATTTCAGGGAACCAATGAGTGATGGTGAGGCACCCAGGGGAGAGCTTCATGGGACAGCAACCCCACCCTGGTCCGAAGGGGCAGGGAAGGAACTGTGTAGCAGAGCTTTGGGGTGGGCAGGAAGGAATTGGAGCACTCTAAGGAGGGCCACCCTCCAGGGCAGCCCAGCAGGACAGGGTGAGTGGCGGATAAGTACACCAGTCTCTCTCTTTCTCTTTCTCTGCCCACTGAACTCCACTGGCCAAGCAGAGGCTGAAGGGCAAAGGGGCCCAGGTAATACAGCGTGGGGAGCTCAGACAGCCTCCTAAGGGCTGGGAGATGGTGGATGGAGGGCCACCTTCAGCAAGGGATTTAATGTCTTCTGCCAATGCTGAGTGAGGGTTTTGGGGCTGTACTTCTGAAGAGATACTGTGGGAGTAAAGGAGATAGGCAAAATATATTTTTTGAAAAATAAAGGACACATACACATCTGCCATTGCTATTTTTTTTACCTCTGGCTCTGTTTCATGCAGGATTGTCAAGTTGTACTGTTTTAGCTACCACAGGATTTTGTTGTTTTTTTTCCCAGCTCTATGGAGGTATAATTGACAACAAAAATTCTAATATATATAAAGTGTCTAATGTTATGACTTGATATACAGATAAATTTTGAAGGGATTTTTCCCATCTAGTAAATTAACACATCCATCACCTCACATTACCTTTTTTGTTTTGTTTTGTATGCTTTTTCTGGTGAGAACATGTAAGTTCTACTTTCTTAGCAAATTTCAATTATACAATACAGTGTTATCAACCGCAGTCACCATGTTATACATTAGATCCTCAGGCCTTATTCATCTTACAGCTGGAAGTTTGTACCCTTTTACAATCTCTTGTTTCCCTTAACTCCCAGCTCCTGGCAACCAGTTTTCTACTTTCACTCTGTTTGTGTATGTTTAACTTTTTTTTAAGGTTCCACATATAAGTGATACCATATAGTGCTTATCTTTTCCTGTTTATTTCACTTAGCATAATGCCATCCAGGTTCATCCATTTTATCCCAAATGATAGGATTTCCTTCTTTTTTAAGGCTGAATAATATTCTATTATATATGTGAATATGTGTCACATTTACTTTTTCAAAAGTATTAAGTATAATTGGCATAATATAATAATAGTTTCAGGTGTATACCCTAATGATTCAATATTTACATATATTTAAAAAATGCTCACCATATAAGTGTAGTTTGTCAACATATAAAATTATTGGAATATTATTGACTGTATTCCCCATGCTGTATCTGTTATCCCTGTGACTTATTTTTTATCTGGAAGTGGGTAGTTTTGATCTCCTTCACCTGTTTCACCTATTCTCTTATCCCCCTTCCTCTGGCAACCACCAATTTGTTCTTTGTATCTGTGAGTCTGTTTCTGGGCTTTTGTTTATTTTTTCATTTGATTTGTTTTTAAAATTCCACATGTAAGTGAAATCCCATTGTATTTGTCTTTCTCTGATTTATTTCACTTAGAATAATACTCTCCAGGTCCATCCCTGTTGTTGCAAATGGCAAGAAATCATTCTTTTTTATGGCTAAGTAATATTGCATCTTGTATATAGGTTGGTTCCATATTTTGGCTATTGCAAATGATGCTGCAATAAACATAGGAGCACATACATCTTTTCCAATTACTAATTTTGTTTTCTTCAGATAAATTCCCAGAGTAGAATTCCTGGGTTGTATGGTATTTCTACTCTAGTTTTGTGAGAAACCTTTATATTGCTTTCCAGGATGGCTGCACCAATTTACATTCCCACCAACAGTGAAGGAGGGTTTCCTTTCCTCCACATCCTCACCAATATTTGTTATTTCTTGTCTTGTTGATGGTAGCCACTCTGACAGGTGTGAGGTAACATCTCTTTGTCATTTTGATTTGCATGTCCCTCATGATTAGTGATGTTGAGCATCTTTTTGTGTACCTGTTGGTCATCTGTATTTCTTCTTTGGATAAATCTCCCTTCAGTTCCTCTTTCCATTTAAGAATCAAACTATGTATTTTTTGGTGTTGAGATGTATGAGTTCTTCATATGTTTCGGATATTAGCCCCTTTTCAGATATATCATTTGCAAATATTTTCTCCCCATTCAGTAGGTCGCCTTTCAGTTTTGTTGATTATTTGTGCAGAAGCTTTTTAGTTTATGTAGTCCCACTTGTTTATTTTTGCTTTTGCTGCCTTTCTTTTGATGTCAAATCCAACAAATCAGTTCCAAGACCAATATGAAGGAACTTACCTCTTCTGTATTCTTCTAGGAGTATTGCAGTTTGAGATCTTATGTTCAAGTCGTTGATCCATTTGAGTTGATTTTTTTTGTCTGATGTACGATAGGAGTCCAGTTTCATTCTTTTGCATGTAGCTGTCCAGCACCATTTATTGAAGACTGTCTTTTCTCCATTGTTTGTCCTTACTTCCTTTGTTATAGATTAATTGACTGCATAGGTGGTTTATTTCTGGGCTCTCTCTTCTGTTCCATTGATCTATGTATCAATTTTGATTACTGTAGTTTTGTAGTATAGCCTGAAAGTAGGGATTGTGATAACTCCAATTTTGTTCTTCTTTCTCAAGATTGCTTTGGATATTCAGGGACTTCTGTGGTGTGATTCAAATTTTAGGATTATATTTCAAATCCTGCAAAAAAAAATGCCATTGGTATTTTGATGGGGATTGCATTGACTCAATAGATTACTTTAGGCAGTGTGTATATTTTACCAATATTAATTCTTGCTATCCATGAGCATGGTATAGCTTTCCATTTATTGATTTCCTCTTTCATTCCTTTTTTTTTCCTTTTTGTCTCTCTGATTTTATTATTTCCACTGCCTTGTGTGAATACACTGATTTTATTTTATATTGATGTAGGCTGCTATTGAAACCATGTATTGAGTTTTTTGGTTCAGTTATTGTATTCTTCATCTCTGTAATCTCTGGTACTTTTTTATATTACCTATCTCTTTGTAGAAACACTTTGTTCATGCCTTGCTGTCCTATCCTTGGAAAGCATGTTTATGTTTATTATTTTGAATTCTGTTGCTTCACTTTTCTTGACCCTTTGTGTTCGTTTCTGCACATTTGATAAAACAAATACATCTTCCAGAAGATGAACTTCATCAGTCAGGCTGGTCTGAGCTCTTG